TCTTTAATTCATTAATTTAAGCATCTAAAATTTCGTCTCTGCATCATGTAGAATTCACCGATTAGAAAAGCTTTCTCAATCGTCCATTGTTTAGACCTTTCTCGTCAAGTCCATAATTGATTTTCTTCGAGGATTCTTATGTGGTTATATAACAATAAAAAAAAGTCTTCTCCATATACCATTATTTAAAGATATACTTGGTTATTTTATTTAAAAATATGGTAATTGTTACTTTAAACATCTCGATCAAAATTGTCAATACCGTATCGGCATGCGTATCAATTTTGTTACTGAAATTATATGTATCAGATATCAAAATTTTTTACGTATTATTTCAGATTTATCGTTATAAATATATATTTTTATAAATTAAATATTAAATTTTAAAATAAAATAAGAGATACTAATGTTTACAATCATTATATTCCTTTAAATTGAAAACAATTTTAAAACGATAATTTTTAATCCCTCAACTTTTAATATATGCATATTTTTCATCTATTCACTTTAAATTAAGGGATTAAAAATGTTTGTTTTAGACAAACTTAACAGAGTAATTGATAGAAGGACAAAAAAAAAAAATGAAGAATGGACTTAAAAAGTACATAAAAAAGTTAAATAATGAAAATTATGTAAAACATTAAAGTTGAGGACAAAAATGGAATTTCCCTTTTTAATTTTGAGTTGAATTGTACCAAGCAATTTTTGTGTACCCGCTAGTACATTGAAACTTGATCGAAACAAGCGAAATTTGACCGAAACGAAATTGGATCATCTACCGTTTCGATTTAATGTGAAAACCGGTATATTACGGTATTAATAACCTTGGTCTCAATTGCTTTTTTCGAATAAATTAAACACAAGTTTATGAAAATACAATATATATCATATAAGACTTATGATTTGTTGGTATAAGTAAGAGGAATTTAGTTATCTTTAAATAATATTTTTAATTTGAATTTTATGAAAAAAAAAAAAAAGAAAGGTTAAAACCCCATTTTGGTCAATGAACTATTGTACGACTCCCGATTTAGTCCCTGAACTAAAAAAATCCCTGAGTTAGTCCCTACTGTTTATCATTTTAACCCCAATTTGGTCCTTCCGTTAATATTTTCACGTTAATTGATGGAAGAAACATAAAAATTGACAGGTTGGAAAAAGTAAATGACATGGCATTCCAACTCATCTCACCCCAAAAAAAAAAATCCCTTTTTTATTTTTTTTTCTTTTTCATTTTAACCCCAATTTGGTCCTTCCGTTAATATTTTCACGTTAATTGATGGAAGAAACATAAAAATTGACAGGTTGGCAAAAGTAAATGACGTGGCATTCCAACTCATCTCACCCAAAAAAAAAAAATCCCTTTTTTAATTTTTTTTTTTCTTTTTTCGTTTCTCCCTTTCCTTTTTCCCTTTCCTTTTCTTCAACTTCTGCAAATCCTAACTTCTCAACCAATCTATTCTCCTCAACCAATCTCTTACCTTTCAAATTTCTTCATCATCATCAAACAACAAAACCCACAAACAAAAAAAAAAAGAAAATTTTTCTAATTTTTTCTAACCCAGCACCTGGATTCTTTCTAGCCCTCAACTGGATACCTAGGTGTTGGGTTCGATCTATTCATCTCAACCAATCTTTTTTTTTTTTTTATCAATCATCTCAACCAATCTCTTACCTAGCTAGTTTCTTCATCATCATCAAACAAAACCCACAAACAAAAAAAAGAAAATTTTTCTAATTTATTGCCACTTGGTTCGAAAGAACCCACACTTGGGTTCGAAGGAACCCAGGGATCAGTCATCTCAACCAATCTCTTACCTTGCTAGTTTCTTCATCATCATCAAACAAAACCCACAAACAAAAAAAAAAAGAAATTTTTTCTAATTTTTTGCCACTGGTTCGATGGAACCCAGCACTTGGGTTCCTTCGAACCCAGTCGTTGGGTTCAAAGGAACCCAGGCGTGGGTTCAATCGATTGGTTTTGAGGGCAGAGAGAAAATGAAAGAGAAGAAAAAAAATATAAGAAAGAATTTTTATTTTTTTATCAGATTTTTATTTTTTTTTCATGTCATTATTTTGTTGTCAGGTTGTATTTCCACGTGTTTTAAAAATTGACATGTCATCATGTAACAATAAATTAACAGGACACATAACGAGAATTTGAACAAAAGCACCAAATTGGGGTTAAAACGGCAAACAGTAGAGACTAAATCAGGGATTTTTTTAGTTCAGGGACTAAATTGGGGGTCCATACAATAGTTCAAGGACCAAAATGGGGTTTTAACCAAAAAACAAATATTGAAAAAGTGTTTTTTTTTATAAAATTTGACATGATTCAATGTCAAATTAATTGAAACCTAATATGATTTCTGTTGGCTCAATGTACTCCAAGAGAGGGGTGAATTGGAGTTCAAAAATTTCCTCCTCTTCGCAATCACAAACCAAAAATCAAAGAGAGTAAGGAAGAAGAGTTTACACAATGATTTTATAGAGGTTTAGTCCAACCTCTTGGAACTTAATCTTCTATCTTGGCTTCACTCATCAAGGATTTCCTCTATACTCTCCACTAAGAAATCAAGGGTGGCTTAAAGGAACCACTCAATAATTTTTACAAGAAGATGAGTATTTCTCTCAAATATCACCCTTTTACAAAATAAACTCCAAGAATTCTTTCTATAAATCACTCTTGAAGGAATAATCACACTCCCAAGATCACTCACAAATGAAACAAGAAGAGGATTACAAAAAAAGATCACTTAAAGATTAAAAACTCAAGTTAAAGCACAAGTTGGTGGGTAAAGATATTTAATACAATACTCTCTGAAACATTCCAAATCAGCTACCAACCATATTTATAGCCCCATGGTCGAAAAAAACCGTTTTTAGCGATTGGGGTCATTAAATGCTCTATAGGTCACATAAATCCGAGTTGCAGATTTGTTAGTATAGCCGATTTAAAGTCTAAAGCCAGCTCTTTACAGCCAGCTTATAATTTTATAGCCGGCTTTACAGGTTTCCTACACATTCTGTTTTCTTCGTAAAGTCGACTTAGATTCCTTGAGCCGGCTTTGCGGGTTTCTTACACATCTTATTTTCTTGTACAGCCGACTGCAAAATATAAAGCCAGCTTTGGGATTTCGACTTTAAAAACATTAAATAATCTTCAAATAACTTGACCATTGTGTATTAAATGTAACATCACAGCCAACTGCAAAGTTAAAGCCGCCTTTGCGTCCGTTCCACACGGGCCAAACTTTGAACTTAAAATTCACCCATAGAGCCGGTTGCATATCTTAGAGTTGGCTCTATGCACTTTTGCCTTCAA